GTAATTGTGTAATTCAAGAGTGACGACGCGGAACATCGGTAGGAAGCCCTTAAGAAATTATGACAAGCAAAGCAAAAACAGTAAGCACTGTCAAGCCGTTGTTGAAAAATCAGTTTCGATCAAGTATTTTAGGATAACTCTAAAAATCCGAAGGAATTTATGAAGAAACGTAAATTAACGGGCGAGAGGTATGGTGAGTTCAGCATTAAATCGATACCTTAAATAACATTTATATATTACAGGCGTTGCAGGAATCGTTTCTGAAGAACGGGTACCTTATAATCTGCATGAAAATTTTGAAAAAAAAAACTTCACTATCTACAGGGATTTTCAGGAGCGAAAACAGCAAGAAGTTACACGCTTTGAGAAGATAGAGAATCTTCGCCCCGCTACTGCTCATTTCCGCAGCCACAAACTGAGGTATGTCAGGACCCGTGAATCTCCAACAAGTTCTTCCATCTCTTCCTGTCAGTGATAAAAATCCACTATTTTGTCTCAAAAATTTTTCCTATTGATCTTGAATACTTGCAAGGAGATATAGATGGCATAAGAAGAGATTTTGAGCAATAGAAGCATTAAGATTCAAACCTACAAAAGTAAACCTTTTTATTTTAGGTGGAAGGATGGAGAGGAAGGATCTCGAGAAGAGAATTTGACCTACAAGATCTTGTCCTCACCAATCGTTATAGTTCCTCTGGTTATTATTGCACTGTCGTTTCTTTATTATTTGAACAGAAAGTTTGCGCCCCGTCACTGAAGTCATTCGAATTATTGACACTTACCTCAGTGTGATCGAAAAAATTGTCTTTTACTGTTGTTCTTGTACAATATTACATAAAAAATCGTGTTTGGAGTAAACACAAACGTCTGTTTGTCCCTATGGCTTTGTACAAGAGCAGATCGTTCATCCCAGGAACAATGGACCACTACCAATATTAACGGGCCAAAAACAGAAACAGTGTAGAAAGTTCACCTTCTGTGATTGCAACGTTGATTTTCGTTCAGACCTTAGACACTAGCAAGATAGGCTTCCCTTACGATGACTAGTGAAAATTCAAAGATGAGTTATTATAAGGATGCATCGATTTAGAACATATAAGATTAATAATAAGACAGTCGCAAATCGATAAGATAATAGCAAAAACAAGAGAATGGTGACTGTTTTTTTTTTGTTCGGACTTGGGATTGCAAAAGCGGGCAAT